TTAAAAATGCAGACCTAACCTCGGACTCCAGTGAAGGCGGACGAGTACAATACTACATTTCCGAATTCCATAAGGCCGGTCAGTTGGATGATGATATCTCAAGGTCGTTGCCCTTTCAAAAGGAAGGGAAAAAAAAAACAAAACAAATCGAACAAAACGTCTCATACATAGCTAGACCGAACGCCAGTAGAAGTAAAACTTGTCGAAAGCACAGAGAGAGAGAGAGAGAGAGAGAGAGAGAGAGAGAGATTATAAATGGTACGTGAAGAGGGAGGAATTTATTATTGCGAATATATAATATATATATAATATAACATAAGGTTTTGAATAAATAAGGAGAGCAGAATAATGTTCTCTCGTGAACACGGTTCTGGCTGGCAACGGGGTTCCCCGTATGCCTACAATTAATTAGGAGTAGTGGTAGGTAGGTAGGTAGTGTGAGCTGAAATTGAGAGAAGAACATAGCTTTTGACAAAATTAAAAAAAAAAAAAAGGACGAAAAAAAATAAATAAATTGATGAATCAATAGAATAAAGGTAACAAGACAACAACGAAGAAGGAGACGATTTAGGAGGACGGAGGGGTGCAGCCATTGCAATGGGCTTTGACGGTGACATTTACGTTGGGATCGGGAGTGACGTAGAGAGAGAGTCCCGACGGGATATTCGGGCAAAACTCGACGGTATGTGAGGGGTAGTATTGCGATTTGAGAAGGGCGAGATCGTTTCCCTTGCCTGCGCCGGCCTTGTTGCCTCCACCCGCGATGGTGCTCCCTTTGCAGAACCTAGCATACACGAGGCTTTCGAACGCCACCGCGCCCCCATAACCCGTAGTTGCAGAATTGCCCTTGAAAGTGGTAGCAAGGAAGAAGATGGTCCTCGTGTCGAAGTTGAAAGCCGTCATGAAGACCGCCCCGCCCGACTCCTTGGCGGTATTTGAGTCGAAGGTCACGCGATCGAAGACCCTGAAGTGTCGGGTCTCATACCCGCGGTCGTCGATGTACACCGCGCCGCCGTTTGCATGAGTGGCGCGGTTCTTGCGAAAGACGGTGTCAACGACTTTGCCGCCGCCGCTGGACGAGCTGTAGATGGCCGCCCCGTGGGAGGCGAAATTGCCCTCGAACAAACACCCCTCAACATCCCACCGAGCGAGGCCGAGATGGATCCCGATCGCGCCCCCATCGTTATTAAGAAAATGGGTCTTGATGGCCCTGACGTCGCACTTCCCCCGGACTGCGCCGCCCTTCGCATTCTGCACGACGACGTTCTCCAAGGTGAGGTGACAGTCGGGAGCAACGCGCAAGCTGTCGAAGATGGGGAACTTGCGCGCGCCGTCGATCGCGCACCTCCGCCCGGCGCACGCGCCCTTGATGTGAATGCGGCCCCAGAATTGCGTCAGCGCTTTAGTCAGCACCACATCCTCTGTCAGCTGCAGAACTACGGCGCGCTCTAAGGACTCGTTCAATGCCTTCTCCAATCGTTGCTCGGCGGTCAAAGCTCCCCCCGCTGCCAAATAGCGGCGGTCTCGATTATGCCGACGCGAGCTGGCTGTCACCGTTTGTCCGCCATAGCCAAGCTGCAAAGAGAGCACAATCAACGCGGCGATCACCGAAAGAGACAACCCGCGCCGCTCCTGCTGCTTCCGTTTAAGATGCATCGCACCTCCTCCATTCCCTCCTCCTCCTACATTCCCTCCTCCTCCTACATTCCCTCCTCCTCCGCTCGCTTCCGATCCCACTCTCAACTTCGCCATCTCGGTCTAAACGTCCTCTTCCTATCAACTGAACAACTATTCACTACCTTTCTCTCTCTCTCTCTCTCTCTCTCTCTCTCTCTCTCTCTCTCTCTCTCTCTCTCTCTCTCTCTCTCTCTCTCTCTCTCT